GGAAAATCACTTGGCCGCGGTGGCCGGCGACGCCGGGGGGGGGGACAAAAGCCGGTATGGACGTGGGCCTGCTCTACCGACCGCGGGACACGGTCTTCGGGATCTGGGGCACCCGCCCCGACTCTTTCATTTTTCAGAGCATCCTCCGGTCCATCGAGGGTGGCTGGCTGGTCACTCGGGTCCTCAGCCTGCGCATTCAGGCCAAGACAACCACGCAGGACCACAGCGCCCTCCCCGTCCTGGCGCTCAAACGCGCCGTCCTCCGACTTTCCCAGCAGCTCGCTCCAGGTATCCTTGCTTCCCCGGGGAGTGGCACGGCGCCGGCGGCGGCAACCACGGCGGCCGCGGGCGCGCGCCGGGAGGTGGACAGCGTGGTGGAGGAGATTCGCACCCTTTTCCCTCGCCTCCACGCCTACGTCAGGAAGCGTGGAGGATTCGGACGTCCCTGCGGCTCGGAACTGGAGGGGGCCGTGGAGGTGATCTACCAGGGGCATCGCGGGCCCCTCCTTGGCCGGCATCAGCAGGGCGAGGACGTGGCCTGCGCCCTTCGTTATCGGTTCCTGACCCTGGGTCTGGAGGAAGCGACCCGGATGTTGTCGCCTGTCTTGCTTTCCACGGGCCCCTTGATCGTGGCGACCTCGGACGCGACCACCGAGGTCTCCGGCAATCAGGGCGAGGCAGTGCCGGGAGGGGACAGAAAGCTGCAGCCTTGGCCGTGTCAGACCATGGCGCTGTGGCCCCACCTGGTCTTGCTGCTCGACACCCAGGACCGTCTGGTCATATGGATAGGACGCGAGGCGGCCCTGATGCTCGCTGCGGGTATGGATGAAAGGGACGGGCCCTTGAGCGACCCCAAGTACGGCGAGTGGCTCCCGGGCTCGGAGGCGGCGCAACAGTCATTGCAAGCGTGCCGGGCGTACGCGGAGCAGGCGCGACAGGACCGCTTTCCCACGCCTCAGGTGGTGGAGGTTGTGGAAGGGGACCCGATGGAGCGCTTCTTATGGGCCAGCCTCATTCCCACCCACAAAGATCCGCCCGACGTACTGTTCTCGCGCTTCCCCGCTCTCCGTTCAATGCAGCCGGAACGCGTGGAGGCTCTGCGGAACCAATTTAGCAGCATGGCAACAGAGGACGAGTCCTTGCAACAATATTTGGATCGGCTGACGCCCGCGGCAGTCAAGATGCAGGCCCATTACACGGCCGCGGGTTCGGCATCGGCGACTCAGTATGCCCACCACCATGCCGGGAGCAAAAGCTAGTTTGAAGTAGTTTGTTCACGAGACGAGACCCAGCAAAGTATTGAAAATAATGCGACTCAGAACCACGGATACCTCTTTCCCAAATTTCAATTTCAATAACTTGATATATTTATTCGTAAATTCATGGAATATCCAGGGCAATCCAAAAGGGGGTCCCACCCTAACCCTTCGAATAATACCGGGATTTACTTGCAAATAATCGGGTCCCCTCAGTGTTGCCCATGGTCTTTTCAAAAAGAAAGACACGTATTAAGAAAGATGAAGCATAAGGACACGGATGTCGGGTAGGAAAGGCGTTGTCGGGATCCTCCATTATGTTGTCCGCGGAGAAAGAAATGGGCCATACTTCCCGAGACTGCCCGGCCCCAGGCAATCCGCCAGATACCGAGGGCAGACGAAAAATAAGTGTGTACGCGATGAGCTCTGGTAGATGGTGAATCAGGTTTGATTTCTGCCGGGTGGCGGAGATGTGCACTCGGGGAAAAAAAGCAAAGTTTGACATTCCGGGAGGTGGCCACGTCTCAGATCCTCCCCTACCCCGACTCGGAGTCTATCAGGACGCTCGCCCTCATCATGAACGTTTGATGCCTTTCCATTTCCTGGTCGGGAACGAGATCTCCGCCATTCGAAACACAAAGGTGCTGCGACGTTGCCAACATGTGGTCGCATTCGTTTCTGATGTACTCCCTGTCTGAAAGCACAGCACACGTCTCAGCGACCGTCGTGTGACTGTCGGCGACAGCCAAGTCCGGACAAAATTGGCCGCCGAAGTGCTCCAAGACCCTCGCCTCGCCCGAAGCAAGGCATTCATCCAACGAGGGCTATCACATCTAAGATCAAAGAGAAGCAGCCAGTGCACGTAAGCTGGCGTGTGCTCAGAGTTCTTGCCATCCCTCAAGTTGCCCATGAGACTGGGCGTGGGGGAGGACGAAGACGACGGGGGTAATGGCGGCGTGGAGCTCGGCCTCGAAGTCCCCTTCGCGTTCTTTGCTATCCTCGTGCACATTGTAGCCGGGCATCTCTTGGAGCAGTGGGCGGAAAAAAGCAAGCACGTAGTCCTGCTTAGCGAGGGCGTTATCGCCATCGGCATGGGTACGTGACTGAAGGGAGGGAAAGGCGGGAGGATATGATTTTGACGGAGAGAGACCACGCCTTGCGACCCGCGGGATGATGAGTGTGTTCCAACATCGTTGTACATTCTTCTAACGGACCTTTTCAAAGGGCTGAAGACCTTATACACTGCGTTCTTTCTGACACAAGCGGGGGACTGCCAGCGCGCACCCATTCGACCTCCCTTGTTTCCCCTACCCCCCCCAACTCAACCCTCGCTTCTCGGTCCCCGTGATCCCCCGTGACAGGCGCCGCTGCGGGGGCCCTATTGCGCTATGGGGTGGTGGAGGAGGTGACGGAGTTCGGACCCGAG